ATGTGCTATATACAAAAGAATTCTACCCAAGTTTCTCACCAAGAGGTGTAAATTATTCATGAAAAATGAAAATGTACTAGATTACAACACTTACATAACTGAGCCTTTTCTTAGAGAATCTGCAAATGCATTTATTAATTAAACTTCAGGGTAGGCCTGCAAAGCAGCTGCTGCCAAGGCAGGAACATAAAAAGTCTATTGTCTACTTATTTTCTAATTTCTTGAAGAGAAAAATTAATGTACATCTGTGTTGTTCTCATAGATCCAAGACCACCTAAGATAGACAGAGTACCCCCCAACCTCTTCCCAGCCTTAATTTTTTTTTTTTTTTTTAGCATACTAAGCAAGTCTGGATTCTGCTATCTTTAGCCATGCGCACAGTGGAATTCAGCCTCAAACTGCCAAGGAGCTTTAACAAATAGCGTTCACTGAATGCAAATGCTGCAATTTTTATAGTTTTATTTTTTTACGCAAAGAAATTGAGGAGGTTTCAATCTCAATCCTTCAATCTCAATCCTTCTATCTCTCTCTACTCTCTTTCTCTCTCCTGCCTTCTCTACAAAATATTTGATATGGCAATTCTGCCTCATCTGAAGTAACCATATCCATTCTCCAACCTGAATCACCCCCTCTACAGTTAGAATATAAGCAAACAGTTAGAGGTGGCTAAAGGACTTAGGCAGTATAAGGTAGAGAGAGAAGTCTCGGCCCAGATTACTGTTTACAAGGGCTGGATTCTGACAGTTGCTGTCTCTGCTTTTTTGGAGAACAACATACGTGGGGCCCAGCTGCTTTCTGTAATCTGTTCCCAGGAACAAGCAAACTCCGAGAAAGGAGTGTTTCACAGTTTGATCAGCCATACATACAGGCCGGCCACTTTACTGTGTATTTCAGGAGAGAGAGAGGACAGGAGCCTACTCCTCCCACACTGGGGCCTTGCTGAACCAAGATTTTTCTTGTGAAACAAAATGCAGGCCCCAAAATGGGTCAAGTGGTGAATAGTGGGGAATGTTTAATGCCTCCTACATTTGTCTGAATATAGTCCAGACAGATGGCATTGAATAATAGATGTTTTATAAAACTCTGAGATGAGAGATGAAATAAAACACAATCTTACCTTTCTAGACTTCTTGGTTAGTACAGGTGGACTTACATATCCAAGAATCCATATACAAATAACTTTAAAGTTATGTTCATGTTTATAGGTCAGAAACAAGCTTTTTTCTTCCCTCTTCAATACTTTATAGCAGGCCAGATAAAACATAATATATGTCTGGTTACATGTAATTATTTTATCTTTCTGATAAGATATTGAAATTGATTATCATATATAATAAAACTATGCCAGGTAAGTCTAGAAAATGAGATTTTCTAATTTATCAAATATAAATAGAGGGCTATATGTATATGACATATTATCAACTAATTTCCAGTAAGTTCTTCCTAAGGCCAACTCTCTGGTGAATGTACTTAATCTTTGGAGGAGGGTTCAGAAGATGTGATAAGACCTTGAGGTCATAATATTAAACATGAATCATCATTTTTGGAGATGTGATTAAGTGTTGGTTAACATATTGCCAGAGTATAATCTGATTTCATTAGCTTCTAAAGCACTTCTTGTGATGCTCTGTAAAAAGATTCCCAATATTAATACATAGGACTGTCTTTCCCTAGCATGGACTCACGGGCCAGAATGAATTAGATGGATAATCTGTTCACTGTCCATAGAGCTCTGATTTGGAGACATGGACAATATACATTCACTCTACACCTGAGGGGACTCTTTCCTTCAAGCAGAAGCCTCTGGTTGGAGGTAGGACGAGCTTTTGTGGCTCTGAGTCTCATTTAGGTAGGAAATGGGAAGGCCCATGTGAAAGGTGAACACATTGCAGGTGTCCGAACAGCGAGGCCACCCGACTGCTGTGCTGGCAGGGACTGAGTTTCACAGCAGCCTCAATCTCTCTTTCTACCACGTGACATTTATTTAGACAGGTTTTGCCATAGTATGAAATCATTTCATGTTTCTCTTTTGCCAAAAGTAACACTCCCTTTGTAATGGGCAAAGGCAAGACAAAGTAGGCCACGTGCCAGCTGCCATTGTCCCAGTTTAGGCTCTTGTTAAAACCTCTTAATGGCCTCCACAGACTCTCCCGCCTCGAATCCATCTGCTCACTCTTCCTAGAGTACCATTTCCATCACTATCTGCTTGAAAGTCCTGCAGTGGCCAACTCAGGGCCGAACCCTTTAACTCGGTATCAAGGTCCCACACAATCAGAATCAAACCTGCGCTGCAGCCGCTCCCACAAACAGATGCTCTGATCAATCTGAATGGGAGTTATTCTCCAGCTAAACTCGATGCTGCCCCAGCTTTCTTTGTAGACGTGCATTTGTCTTTCTATTTAATGATAGTGCCTTAAGGAATGTGCAAAGTCCTTGTAGAATTCAGAGGACAGGGAAAGTACTTCTTGCTGGGGGAGTAGGAGAGAGATGTTCAGGGAAAGATTCAGAGGATAAATTGTATTTTAATTGTGCCTTTAAGAATGTTATTAAGTAAATTAAATGATCTCTGTATATAAATGAAGAAACTTAAAATGTATTTATTTGAAAATTGTTTTATCTCCCTTTGAAATAGAATATAACTTTGAAATAAAAAATACTAAACAAATTACAACTTAGAATATTGTAATAATGCGAGCTCAGGAATTTTACTCTGCACCCTCATTTTATTAAAATTTCTTTTCTTATGAAAAAACAGATAATCCATTACTAAGCTTTACCTCTCTTAATGTACATTCTAAGATTAAATTTGTTTCAATATAGGCATCTTTGACAGATTTACACATTCTGGTCCTTGGTCAATGGACTCAAATTGACTAATTTACATGCTACCTATCATTTCCCCCCGCCAACCAATTTTTTTTGTTAACAAGCTATTTGTGAGATGATTAGTAGAGGTTAGGAACAAAGTCTATGACAAAAGAAACCCATGAACCTGTTTCCCTAAGACAAAGGACTAATTTTTTCTTAGGCTATCTTACTTCTATAAAAATTATTGATAATTTTCACTGGTTATTTTATCACACTGAAATAATAAGGTCCATTATATGGTTTCGTTTCTTTTCTTTTTTGTTTGTTTTTTTTTTGTCTTTTTTTTTTTGAGAAGAGTTTCGCTCTTTTTGGCCGGCTGGAGTCGCAATTGCGGCGATCTAAGTTCATACAAATCTGCCTCCTGGATTCAAGCGATTCTCCTGCCTCACCCTCCGAGTAGCTGGGATACAGGCATGCGCACATGCTGGTAATTTTAGTTTTTGAGCTAGAGACAGGGTCTTCTGCCCGTTGGTCAGGCTGGTCTCGAACTCCGCAACCTCAGGTGGATCTGACCCACCTCGGACTCCAAAGTGCTGGGATTACAGGCATGAGCCACTGCGCCGGCCTATTATATGGTTTCTAAGAAGATGACCTGGCTACTTTACATAGCTAGCTGCCAAAGGGTAGTATTCAACATCCAGCTCATCCTCATGTAGGATTATCTTAGCGAGTCTGCAATGGAGTGATACCATCATGGGTTAAGGTCAAGTTTTCGTGGGGAGTCAGGTTGAACTCGCAGCAAGAGCATGTAGAAATGCTGTGACTGTGGCTTTGAGTGAGCTAACTTTTGTTTCAGTGTTTAGCCACGCTATCAAATGCGGCGTGATGATCATTGCACCCATCTCGATAAAACAGCGTATGTGGAAGAGAATATGGAGTGTACGGTCTATACGATAAAGTATCTGCTCTGTACACAGTTAGTATATAGAATGTAGTAATATGAGTATGTAATATAATACTATTGAGAGGAGACCATTTAGGAATCTCATTACCTGGCCACATAAATAAGAGCGGGTTTATATAATCATTGTATATTTACGGTATTAGGTATGATGTTTGTCTGGTGTAAGGCCCCAAAATACCTTCAATTGAGAATAGAAAAAGGAGTGCTTAGTTAAATTTGTCTGTATTATATTTATGTTTCCTTAGTCTGTTCCTAAAGGCTAAACAATCAAAAAACATTTGTAGTATTTCCGCAAATATATTTGGATTCTAATCCTTATTTAATCTCAACACCAGTCCAAGTCAGTGAAAACTTTTATTGGTGGACGCTTGATTCGAGCCTGAGGATAGACGGCGCTGTTCAGCTTGGCTCACCATGGCCGGCGTAACGTGGTAAATTGACTGCGACCTAAGAAGTGTCATGGGATGTTTAAATCAATCCGTCTTGTCTTCCAGAGTAAATGGATTTGTAGTCTAATAGCGAAATATGCTTATGACGGATTTTTAAATATTGAATCTGACGGCGTCTGAATTGATGCAAATTAACAAAAAATGCTGTCAAAATCCAACTACATTTTGTGTGTTAAAGACAGGAAAAGGAAGGGCCAGCGGGGGGTCGTTCGCCCGGGGCGCGACCCGGCCCGGCGGATACCCGCGGCGGGGGCGCGGCGGGTCCGTCGGCGCCCGCCCAAGTGGTGGCTTATCAGTCAGCTTGAACGCTGGAATCAGAGTCCTCTCATGTCTGATTTGTGTTGTATCTTTGTAATTGCACTGCTTTGGGCCTAAAACGCAATAGTCAGTTTGAACCTTTGGTTCGTGAAGTCTCAAAGCATGGAGAGGACTGCGCAGGGGGCAGCTGTAGTTTCCTGGCTCCTTTAACAGAATTAGGAAACTAGAGTTCATGTTATGTGTTAAGCATGAGCTCTACGTGAATCCACCAGTGGGTTATGATTCTACTTGGAGTTGTAAAGTGGTGAAATTTTAACAAAGATCAGATAACTTTTTATTTTAGCGATTAACAAAGCTCTGGGTGTCCTAAGTGGAGTTGGATGGTTAAAAGAAAGTTTGCCAGGTCTTTTGTCGATGCTTTGGCTCTTTGAAGACCTATGGGTACATTAAATGAATAATCATATCTGGAATTTGTGGTTCCACTATGATGTTTAGTTTTCATGTTTTTCATGTGCAAGCAGACTTGCATCAAGAGCTGCTAAAGGATTTCTCTTCATCATTTAAGTGCAATCTAGCAGCAACTACTACATCTGATAAACTGCAAAACACAGAATATAGGATTCTTGAAGCTACTGTCAGGTACTCCTTTAATTATATTTCTTTGGATTAAATTGAAATGAAACTTCAGCTATGCTTGCAATTAAAGAAGTTGAAACTTCAATGTATTTCCTTTTCCATTCACACCCTGCCTGAAAGTGATGTATTTTAGCTTCTGAATATTCCATGCTTCCAACCTCTGCCTCCCTACACACACACACACACACACACACACACACACACAGAGAGAGAGAGAGAAAGAAACTTGAATATACGTATGGAATCTCTCAAAGTTTTTTTCTACCAAATGGAGCCAAAGAATCACTAGGCTTGAATGATATATATGACACATGGTCAAATATTTATCATGATAAAATAATTTATCCTACAACTCTAAAGTGTTTCTTTATCTTGGCTTCTTTTCCTTTCTTAAAAAAGATCTCTAAGTGCCCAAAAGGCTAAACTTACCATATAGAATTTCACTGTAACAAATACTACTATATTATACTTCAAACTTGTCTTTTATTTTGAGACAGGGTCTCACTGTGTCACCCAGGCTAGAGTGCCGTGGCACTATCATGGCTCACTGCAGCCTCAACCTCCCTGGGCTCAGGCGATCCTCCCACCTCAGCCTCCCAAGTAGCTGAGACTACAGGTGTATGGCATCATGCTGGCTGGTTTTTTTTTCGTATTTTTGTACGGACCAGATTTTACCATGTTGCTCAGGCTGGTCTCCAACTCCTGGGCTCAAGTGATGCTCCTCCCTCAGCCTCCCAGAGTGCTGAGATTACAAGCATGAGGCGCTGCACTCAGTCCAAACTTGTTTTCTTATAAAAGCACTTTGTAACAAAGATTGGGTCAAAAATCACTAAACATAGTTCAAGGAGGCAGGACTTAAGACTTGAAAGAAACAGGTATCCAGCTTCCCTATTGAGAGTGAATGATTAAGAAGAGCTTTGGACCTAATAATGGAAAGACGCAGTCTCTCTCCCTTCTCCCATCCCACATTAAATCATCATCATCATCATCATCACCATCTTCTCAGCTAAGGAACTCATCCTTGCCTGCTCTTTGTTCTGTTTGTTTCGAAGCTGGGTTGGCTTTCCTCGGAGGACGGGTTGGCATTTTAGAGGTGGGAGTGAATTACTGAAGAATCGTCCACAGTTGATTGACACCTGCCTCTGCACTGCTGTTCAGCCTCTCCTCCCTCTCCCACTCTCTGCTCTCTCCTGCTCTGTCACAATGCTGAGGGCATAGTCAGCACTGTCACGGGGTTTAACTTTTATTTCTGCATTCCTGTCCACTCATGCCTCTCTTTGTAGAGATGAAACCTGCAGAGCTGGAATCGTGGATTCACTTGAACGTGGAAAGCAGCATGACTCAGCCCTCCCAGCCTGCAGAATGCGGGTTGGGACTGCCATGATCCCCCAACACGACTTCCCCGAGTTTCTTTTATCCCTTGTCATCTTTTATTAGCAGAGCTGATTTTATTTTTAAAAACCCATGAAACAAAACTAAAAACCAAATCAAAATTGTTCTACTGTGAAGGGAGGGCATGCGCAATGAAGTATTTTCCCAGGCGAGGTGAGAGTTTCTGCTCATTCACCCTCACGCTGTCTCCTTGTGGCTAGAAGCACATGTTTGCAAGTTGGGAGGCTAGGGTCAGGAATACAGTCAGCTTGTGACCACAGAGTAGGAAATAGCAGCTGGCTGTCACTACGAAATAGTACATCTATGGTCTCACTGGCACATGCATTAAACCAACAGAGTTAAACGCTCCTCATCAGTTATATCCAGCCTTTGTGAGTTCAGCAGCACCCATGACTCTTCATTCTGGATGGTTTGGCTCTTAGGCCAGTATTGGAGCAGATTGTGAAGTGGGAGCCAAGTGAGTTTGGCAGAACCTAAGACCGAGGTCAAATGATCATAAGAATTATTCAGACCTCAAATATGACACTTAGGCCAAAGGGAAGACTTTCTAAGAGAAGAATTTCTTCCTCCACACAGATGATGGGGTCTGAATGAACCGAATTAAAATAGAGCCAGTTTTGAAGCACCCATGGGTGCGCGTCTACGATTTTTATGTGGCCATTCACAAACCACTGGATAGGTAATGCTGTACTAAAAGGAATTTAAGCCTGTCAGGTTAATTACACAATATTAGGTACGAAAACAAACAGTGCAACACAAAACATAGCTACATCATTATTTGCAGTAAATGTTAACTCTAAATAAGTGCAACCTGTCTGTAAATGCTTGCTATAAACTAATTAAAAAAATAAAATTTGATGGATAAACATGAAAAAAAAATTCTCACCGAGAATTTTTTTTTTAAATATCAGCACTCATTTAGAGTTTGGGATTTGTGAAAGAAAGCTTTAAAAGGAGCAAACCTGATTGGCTGTGGCTGTTGCTGCGAAGGGGACACTTGTTGCAGGAGTTGTTGCTGCAGAGACAGTGGCGGACGTAGCGCTGTGCATCATGGGTACTTTCAGGAGGGGAACCATGGGAGCAATGAACAGGAGGGTGTAGCATTATGGTAATAGAAGTGGTATTTTGGCATGGTGAATATCAGAGCAGCAAGCCATCATGGGTTAAACCAGCAGATGGCATGCAATCACAATGCAAAGCAAGGAAGCATGGGAGAGAAATAAAAAAGGGAAAATAGCTTATTACAAGTACAATTAAAGGAAGTTTTAAAACATAATCAGTGATTCCCAGAAAGGCCAAAGCAGATTACTTTGGTTGATGTATTTATAAACATTTTACTTCTAACAATAGATCCATTCCCAATTCAGAGTATACGGTGTATGTAATAATGGTTGTTTCTAAAATTGTGAAAGGTGATGTCTGATGAAGCAAGAATATGTGATCATCACTTTTAATCATAAATTCTGAGACATCCAAGTCTCCATATGGAGGCCTAATTTGGGATAGGATGTTCTTTGGAATTATGGTGAAATTGAATGTTTTTTTTCAATTTGGAACTGCTTACATGAAATGGAACTGCTGTGGGTTGTGGTTTATTTGAATCAATAAACGATGGCGCAAACATCATAGCCTTGATGCAAATTCTAACACAGTTACTCTGAAATAGCCAGACAAAATTTGCAATGTTTCTTTTTCTTGACTCTAAATAGATCTAATCCACATGTCTTAAAGACAGACGTTTGTACCAAGGCATTCATGTGTGTGAAGACAACTATCTGCTATTAAAATTGAATGGCTAAGGGAATGCTGAGGTCCAGAAAAATCATGCCAAATAAATCAACACTTAAAATTAGAAAAGATAATTAAGTTAAGAAGCTCAGACATTCAGTTTCAAAATACATCCATTTATAATTTGTAAAAAATGAATACTTCTGGGAAACTCTGATCGCTCTAACACACAGCAAAGAGGAGATAAAGGCACACCACTATGAAACTTTCAAACATTGATGAAATTAGCCTGCCTCGCTGATAGAGTAAGCTCTGTTCCTTACGCTATACCATATAAACTATAAAGAGAAACAAAACACAAATCATTAAAAAGCAGACTCGTACTTGTGGCTTTATGTTTTTGTAGTGATTGTTCTAGCACAAGAGGTCACATTAAAACCGTCATTTTCTTAAATATACAAGTACATTTTTAAAAACCTATATGTTAACTCTAAAGCCAAATAAGCCTTCAAATCTACTATTTCCTGTAGCATTTCTACCATCTCTGAAATAAATTTCAAGCAAGTGAAGGTATTGTACATCATATAAAAGACAAATAAAAAAGGTTGAAACCTACCAATACTGGTAGCGGGTGTCATGCACAAAACTGACCCTGATGTCATGCAATGGTGGGTGGAAAAAGTGAATAAAGGGAAAGAAACAGGTTAGCGGTTTAGAGTTAACATTCAAAGTGAGATTGAAGCACAACCAGAAATAAGTAGGGTTAGTTAACACAGTCTTTTAGGGCCATTCACATTGTCAGTACAGACACAAATATATCAGACTTATTTTAAGCCAATATTATTCCAAGCTCACTCCTTAGACCACTGTCCACACTTTCTATTCATATGCATCGACATGATTCTAATAAGAATGACATGTGATAATGCTGTGGTGTCCTTCCTCTAAAACCTCAAAGTATTTTACAGACATTATCAAGTTAATCCTCCAAGGTAGGAAGTAGGTATTTTACAGATGAAAAATCTGAGGCATAGTAACTCCTCCAAGGTCATGCATGGTGTGGGTCAAGGGGAAGGGTAGAAATAGAATTCTCTTCCTAAATCCAGGTCATCTTTTATATTCACTAGAATACACTGAACTTCCTGCATTAAAAGTTTACTTGTTTGTTTGACTGTAAATGTTTTGTGTCAACAATGGTATGAAAATAAGAACAGTATTTAAGATTTAAGATATTCTCCAAATCAGAAACTTGCAGGGCAGGATGGGTGAATTTTAGATTACTGCTTGAAAGCCTAATCACCTAGGAAGACTGAGGTTCTTACAGGGAATGACCTGTATGAGCACATGGTCTTCTCTCTGTTGTAAGATTCATTGTGATAAAGGAGTAGTACCTGACAATAAAGCCTAAACACAGTAGAGGCAAAATAGTGCAGAGTTGCAGCTGAGTTAGGACCAGGGCTAAGGAATTTTGTCATGACTACTACAGGGTGATCCCTGAGGAGGATTTCTGGCAAAACTAGGAAATCTCAAGTTGGTGTCTGAGTGGGGAGGTAGGAGGTGGGAGGGGCGATTTCAACCCTTTCTTAGAAATAGCTGTCTTACTTGTGGTGGTCATAATTATCATACACGCATCAGGAAACTCTGACCATGAATATTATATTCATGCATGTTGTGGAGAACTGAAAGAAAACTGTATTGAAAGCTTTGGGGAATTATCTGCTACTGGTTCAGTTCCATGAAAAAAAAGTAATACATGGATGTAGATCATTGAAGACTGGGTGTCATGTAGGTGCCTGAGAAGTAGTTTCTTGTGAATATAGGAATGTCCTCTTAGAGTTTCAGAACTGACTTCTGAGATATTAGTTGGAGAATTTGAGATGTGTAGATCTTTATTCTCTGTGGAGCTGTTCACGCTGGAGGGCAACTTTTTGCCTGAACTACATTTTGATGAAGCTAACATGACCTAGTCAGGAAAGGGGGCTATTTAACTGGGCTACAGCCATAGTCTTCAACAAATGTGGGCCAATACATCCAACTTAAACCTTTCTCCAGCCCTATTCTCTCATCTTCACAATCAAACTTCTGGAAATCTACCTGCACACAAATGTTTACTTCCCTATCCCTACTGAGTGTTCATTCCTCTTCAATTTGGCTTTCATTTGACCTCTGCACTTAAATTGTGAATGGCAATCACCAGGAAAATCCCATATTGCTGCAGCCAGCAGGAACTCTCCCATCCTCACCTCACTGTTCCTGATTCTCAGCAGCATTCAGCACTCCGCCCTTCCCTCCATCGGAAGCCACTGTCTTCCCTTAGATTTTTGATCACACACACACACACACACACACACACACACACACACACACACTTTTCTTTCTGGCAAGTCCCTTTGTCTACTTTGCTGAATGACCTTCCTTCCCTGAACTCACTCTCTCTATGCTGGAGTTCCTCAGGACTCAGTCATGGATCCTTTTCATCTGTGCTGCATTTCCTGTGGTGTATCGTTCACTTCGTGGGTTTGGATTCCAGGAGCTTCCGTGTTTGTGTATCCCACGCAGATTTCTTCTCAAAGTTCCAGGTCCTTTCCTCTAAATGCCCCCCTCACCTCTCTGCCTGGATGTCTCATAAGTGTATCAAATGGAACAGGACTGAACTTTGATCTTTTCACAGAAACTTTCTACACCTCGGTCTATGGCCACACCACCCTGAAAGCGCCTGATCTTATCTGATCTCGGAAGCTAAGCAGGGTCGGGCCTGGTTAGGACTTGGATGGGAGAAACTTTCTACACCTCAGGAGATACCTGATGGGCATCACCATCTAAGTAGAGCTCTAGTCTGAACTGAAAGTTACGTCTGATACCCCTTCCCCTTGTGAACTTCCCAGGTCCAGCTCACCAATCAGCCAAAGCAATCCTGCTTCTAGCATGCAGCTTGCAGTCATCTGTTTGTCCGTCACAACTGCCACATCTGAAGTCCTGGTCACCATTATCTCTAGGCTGGCCTATGTGATAACATCCTACGTGGTCTTCCTGCTTCCATTCTCGTCCCTCCTTAGTTCATTCTCCAGCTGCTGGCAGAGTAGATCTTTCCAAATGCAGGCCTGGCCACTCCTCCGCTGGAAACCATTCAGTGGTTTCTCATTGCTTTTAGGATAAAGGTCCCCTGTGGTCTAGTCTCTGACTACCTCCCCAGGCCCTCCTACACCTCTCTTCCCTGGCACCATGATACAGACAGATTAATTTTTCTTTTCTTTGAACTGAACACATTACACATTTGTCCTATTTTTGAGCTTCCCACAAGCTGTCCCCTTGGCCTAGAATAATCTTCACCTCACTTTTTTCATCTTCCAGATCTCAGGGTATATGTCACTTCTTTAGAAAATGCTCAGTTGTTATTTTACCTACCTCCCCATGCCATCAAGTCAGTTTCTATTTTTAATCTCACTGAACTCTACTCTTTCATTCATAGTACAGGTTGAGCATTCCAAGTCTGAAAATCTGAATCCAAAACGCTCTAAAATCCGAAACTTTTCGAGTGCTAACATGCCCCTCAAAGAAAATGCTTCTTGGAGCATTTCAGATTTCAGATTTTCAAATTTGGGGTGCTCAACTAGTTAATGTAATCCAAATATTCTAAAATTCGAAAAAAAAAATCCAAAATCTGAAATATTTCTGGTCCCAAGCATTTTGGATCAAGGGGTACTCAACCTGTACTCATAAAAAAAATGGCCGAGCACGGTGGCTCACACCTGTAATCCAAAAACTTTGGGAGGCCGAGGAGGGTGGATCACCTGAGGTCAGGAGTTCAAGACCGGCCTGCCCAACATGGCGAAACCCCATCTTTACTAAAAATACAAAAATTAGCTGGGCGTGGTGGTGCGTGCCTGTAATCCCAGCTACTCAGGAGGCTGAGGCAGGAGAATCACTTGAACCCAGGAGGTGGAGGTTGCAGTGAGCAAAGATCGCACCACTGCACTCCAGCCTGGGCTACAGTGCAAGACTCCATCTCAAACTAAATAAATAAATAAATAAATAAATTCTAATTGTATTTTCTATGGATATTTGTTGAACATTGACCTTTCCCCCTTTCTTGTAAACTCTGGGAGAGCAGAGATCTTGTCTGTCTAGGTCTATGGGGCACATAGTAGGTGGTCAATGTGTTGAATGAATGTTCTCCGCCATTAGTAAGAAGTGTGCTGGGAGTGATTTGTTTCTAAAATTTAATAAAATACCCAGTTTGTGAGTTGCTCCGTTTTAGAGTCAACCATGGATGGATTCAAAGTTACACCTGGCCGGGTGCAGTGGCTCACGCCTGTAATCCCAGCACCTTGGAAGGCCGAGGCGGGTGGATCAAAAGGTCAAGGAGATCAAGAATGGTCTGGCCAAGATGGTAAAACCCTGTCTCTACGAAAAATACAAAAAAATTAGGTGGGTGCGATGGCAGATGCCTGTAACCCCAGCTACTCAGGAGGCTGAGGCAAGAGAATCGCTTGAACCTGGGAGGCGGAAGTTGCAGTGAGCCAAGATCACGCCACTGCACTCCATCCTGGGTGACAGAGTAAGACTCTATCTCAAATAAAAAAAAAAGTTACACCTATAAAAATGCCCTCTTATTTTTCTTTCATTCAAATGTGGAGCGGAGGGTCTCTTGGAGAGCTTTGCTGTGCCATGCATGTGAATACCAATGGTACTGCAAATAATCCACAGCTCCCACAGCTGCACTGGGCTAGGATCAGTCATGTCACTTTGGCTTCAGTCCTGGATGTGGCTGAAATCCTTAACCAAATTAATTCCATGAGCCTCTCTCTCTAAGTGGCCTAATAATGCTGTGAATATTGGAAATGCATAGCTTATGCATGTGTGGCTCCCTTACTCAATGCCACATCTCTGCCTTTCTATAACACTCCCATCCTCTACTCTCTGCATACACCCTGTATATACTTTATGTTGTAGTTATGATGGACAATTTTCTATTCTTCAAGTACACTCTTCCCACGTCCCAACTGGGATGCTTTTCCCCCTCTGATAAAATCTTGCTTCTCTTTCAAACTCCTAGGCAAACTTCTCCTACTTCGGAAAGTCTTCTTTCTCCATATCCTTCGTAACCACCACCTGGTGCACATGCTGGAGGCATAATTCATTGTCCCCTCTCCTTCACTCTTGAATAGCTTTGCCCAGACCCTCAGGTACTGTTTCATCCTCTGCATAATATTTGGTTTTCACCTCATTATGAACTCTTTTGTATTCTCATTACTGGCTCTGGAACCCAGAACATACTACGGGTTCAAGGTATGTTTGCTGAATTGAATGGAATAAATTTTGTTGTGCTTATGCAGATATAGATGCCACTAAACACTGATCAATCTTTCACCAAGTCATGTGACAATCTGATGTAACATTTACACATTTCTCATCATTAGGCCATATCTGGACACTGTCCCCTGTTCTACTTACTCTGTACTTTCAATGTAATGAAATAAATCAAGGAAGGATTCTGTGGGTTGCCTTTGTTCTGATCAGTTGAAGCATTTCACTAAGGCACCAATTCTATGAACAAAGACTTCTCAAATGTTTTCTGCTTCAGTTGCACAAATATTTCAGCTGTCATATCTGTGAGCCAGAATTATCTGGGTAGTTCCGTTAATTATGTATTCCACTTTGCAGTGTAGACACAGCCTCAGTTTTTCCATCTGCAAAATGCAAATAACCATGCCTGCCACTAACAGAACTGCAACATCTTGAAGAATAATGAGATAATGTCTATAAGAACACTTACAGTAACTTAGAATAAACCTGTCAGAGAAATGCCAAGAATTATTATGCTGCTATTTTTGTAAGTGTGTGTGGTTTTGCCACTTTCCTAACATAGAAAAGAAAAAGTCTAACTACTTGGTTAAAATAATCCCAATCAAAAAAGAAAAAAAAAAAAAAAGAAAACTTCCACCCGCGGCAAATGTACTAGGGCATCAACTAGGGCAATAATGATCTTAGCATGGTTTGGGAGAAGACTCTCATATTTTGCATAACATTTTATATTAATATCTTTGCAAACTGGAGGCAGAATTCCCAAAATCCAAATTCACATTGTGTCAATGGGAGAATTTTAGTATCATATCAAAAGCTTTAACTGTGAATGGTTTTTGATCAAGGGCAACCTTCAGGAAAACACAAAACGCTTTTTTGTTTTATATTTATGTTTATGTAAAACATTTATAGAAAAATCAAAATCTGTTCATTTAAAAGTAGTGGGTCCTCTATGTACCAAGTTGTAAGAATTATTTTTGAACATCTTCACTTGATTTGCAGAGGTTTCAAATCAACAATGATGAACAATGAGTGATTATCATCTTTATCATTTTAGAAATAAAGTTGAAAATGTGGCTTGTAAGAAAGAAAATCAGAAGCAAAACCTTGAGCTATAATGAACAATAAAATTCCTGGTACGGGTTTAAGTGGGTTAAAGATTATTTTAATTTCCTTTTAATAAAATTATTTTCTCTTTCCTCATTTAAGAGAAATGTGAAAATTCTTAGCAGTTGAAATACCATTTCAGAACACTAGATCCACATGTTTGTTCACTCTGATATTCATGTCTTGTAAGAAATGGAAACCCTTCTAGTCACTGTATTGGTGTGCTAGGACCCACTTTTTGGCTTCCAAAGCCCACTGTATTGAGGGTTGCCAGACACACTTAAGCTGTTCCTAAAGAATCCACCAGAGGGCGGAAGTACACAACCACAGCAGCCAATGCAGCCGCATGGGTCCTTCATGCAATACATTTCATCAACAAAAATCAGGTCATTGCATAAGGGATGTTGTTTATCCTTGCTTTGGAAATGTTTAAAAGGCTTCCAGGTGAAATATTTTAAAGTGATGATTCTTTCAGTGATTTAACAAATCAATCATTATTGGGTTGGAGAATTAAACATGTGCTGGAGGGCTGCCGGGTCTTTTGGCAGGCTTAGCACCAGAGCTCCATAGGTATTCCCAGGACATGGTAATGGCAGTAACATCCATTCTTCAGAAACAGGCTTCTCCTTTTACATTTTTCCCCTCGGTATATTCTTCCTTAATTTTTTTTTTTTTTATCATAAAATATCTAGTGGCCAAGAGGTCTATAATGAGACACTTTGTAGAAACCACACAGGACATTAACGTAAGTTTACCTTCTAGTAATTATTTTACAAATGTGTTATCTCAAGTAGATTACATGTTAAAACACTGCTATGCTGTAACAGCACTGGGATGTCACTAATTAAAGCTGTAATAGGGCAAGAGTGAACCCCTAATAAATACTGCATTAGAGATTTCTTCTACAAGTCTGTGATTTTAAGATAGGTTCAAAACTAAAATAAGAAAAGTAAACACTGAAAAACCACTTTGCTCACATAATTTATATCTTAACTAAAATATGTATTGTTCACAGGTTACTAATCCATTTCAAAGTGTAGATTTCATACAAAGAATATCACAGAAATATTTTACCTCCCTCTGATGTTAACTCTGATAAGCTATGGGATTTAAGGAGATGGATAATAAGCTGGAAAAGTTCAAACTTATGGATTTGAATCAAAAAACTCTTTTTGTTAGAATTGTTATTCATTTATATTTACCTTCATTTCACTGTTGTGGGCTGAAGAATTTTGACTCACAAAGAACTCAATGGATGGTCTTCCCACCAGGGCTTACGTTATCCCCTGCTTCTAACATTGACTATAAGGTGAAAACCGAAGTCAATTACAGTGACTATCTTTGCATATGGTGTGCGTGTGTGTATCTGTGGTTAGAGATGTCGGTGCAAATAGGGGAGGGATGACATGCTTTATACTTTTGTTTTTTTACTTTTATCTGACTTTTTGGGGTCACTTATTCAAAAATTCACTTTTATCTGCTCTTTTCTTTTTTCAGGAGAACTCTGTGGTATGTGTATATAGAGGCAGGTCTGGGTGGTAGAATGTGATGTAAATGGAGTTGGTCACAGGGAAACTCAGTTCTTTTTCTCATTAGTTGTGGCACCTTGGAAAGTCACTTCTCATTTAGGGGGCCTCAGTTTTCTCATCTGTAAAACAATCATCTGGATGAGGAGATCACTAAGAGTCCTTTAAACTCTAAGATTCTATGACTATTACAATGGATCTTTTAGTGGAATTATAGTTAATGCACATGGTACGTAATAGTATCAGGCATTGGCTTAGACACTGAGGATAAGAGCTCTATATACTTGTGAACTTGGTGAAAGTTGAGAAGGATGGAGAAAGAGATAGAATGGATATAAAAATATGAGTAGAGAATGCTTTAATTTGAATAGTCTCATTGTTTTAGTGCTCTGAATAGAAATAGAAAAAAATGGTTAGTATTTACTGGAATTGCTATTTTTTAGGTCATTCAGAGTTAACGACAAATTTCAACTGTCACACATAAAAGGTCTTATTTACATAAACAATTTGACAGGGCTTGTGTGAATACGAGAAACCAAAAGCCCTAAATGCTCTCTGTTTCTCATGGGTTAAATCTGTCTTTTCAATCTATCAAATATTTGGCTTTAGAATCCTAACAGTCTTTAGCTATCATTCAAAGTAAGGTAAATACATTTAGATAGCTAGGACAACGATGAATTTCAAACTGTATTATACCTTCAAAAGCAAACTAGATGCCACCAAACAGCTTATAGAAATGAGAAGAAAGCACATGACCAGAAGGGCACAGGACATAGGGCAGTAAGGGCACATACCTGTTGGAATGAACGCGGCGTGTTGCTGCAACTGTGCGCTGGTGAGAGCCTGCTGGTAGTGCAAGACGCTGGGGTTAAAGACCGCACTGGTACCATTGCTTTTTTCAAGTGCTTGTCTCTTTGGTAAAGGATGAAGAGCACCAGGGGGAAAGGCCTAGAAATGAAGAATTCGATAAGATATGTCTAACTTAAAGCAAACACAACTTCCGTGTTCATAGAGATCATCAATTGCAACATTCTTTTTAAAAATGACAGCTAAGGAGATGCCTCTGCCATGCACCTTAATTTAAACAGCGGCAATGTCGAATGAGTGAGAATTTGTTATTGAGAGCGAAAGCATGATTTCTGTAACCCAAAACGGTAGCATCTCAACTAAGGAAAAGAAAAACTATCAAGCAACAACAACAACAAAAAAATGGCTTCAGCTTTTAAAATGAGTTAAACTATTCTAAGGGGGAGGAAGCATTGGTGTTATTATTAATACCTATTCTTTTATTTAACTAAATGGCAATTTCTTGAATTTAAAGGTTAATAAGAATTATAATGAACATTTTCTGAGTCAAATAATTTAAATTTGCTTCACTCTTTTGGAAAAGGTATTAAAATTTGTTAGGATTAATTTATTTCACAGATTACGTATGAGAATGAGATGGCTAAACACCTTATTGGATTTTTTCCATAAATTAATAATAATGATTGTTCGCAACCAATATTTTACAAGTAATACAAATCTCAGATGGTTCTCTGAAAAGCTACATGCAAAGCGAAAGGTGAAAGGTCAAAGTACCAGGTCTACAGTTGCTTCGAGAGGTCGCTTCATTGCTTTGGCAGTCGACTGAGTCTTTTAATAACAGGCAGCGAGCACATGATGGCAGTGGGCCAATGGGATTCAAGCGAATTAACATACAGGTAAACAGCAAGCAGAGGTGCATCATGGGAACGGCATTGCATTGTGGATAGGTGAGAAGGAAAAAAATATTCTGAATGCAATATACAACGTACAAAACACTAGGCATGCACAACAACAAAAATGTTCTCTAAAGAAATGAATATTACACCTTAAATTAGTATTGAAGCAAAAATGCATCTACTATACCTTAGTTAAAAGCATATAAGAGAGTAAAATATAGATGTTTGAAATTCAGGAAAGTTAATTAAAACAGCAGCTTGCATACACACCATAAGCATTTTTTATATTGCTTCAGAAAAAAATGCAAAATTTGTAAGGGCCATAGGATCGAAGAACTTCTGATAAGTTAGTTTTCAAATATGAAACAATGAATCCATCGAGTAAGGATAAGACCCAAGTTGAAATTTTTCATAAAAATAATTTAAAATTCATAGCTAGCCTAACAAAATGAAGTGGCGAACTGAGACAAAAAATTCAGGCAAAAAAATATTCAAACACAAGATTATTTAGGCGAAACTGTTGGGTTTGGATCTTTATTTTTTGTCTGAATCATGTGGATAATTGTCTCAATTCTTGTCTTCACTCTGCTAGTGTGAGTCTTGTCATGTGGACTAAAGTTCCAAATTTAGTGTCTTGAATTTAAATAGTGAGTTTCCAGAATTCCCCACTTTTATTCCATCATCCTGTTTCTAACAACCAACTTATCATCCATTCTGTTTTCTACTACATTTGAAATGTTCATTTCATTTATCTCAAACAACTTACCGGATTATACTAAGAAAATACCCTTTAAAAGGTATTTAGTGTCCCCCGGTATCAAAATAATTTCTATTTAGTAATTCTATTTGTACTTTTAGCTACAGTCAGTGAGCAACCCCATTAATGAAAAGTGGAACTCTTGGAAAGAACACATACAATAGCTAAAAATAGCAAACAGCTAAAAATAATGGCAAAGAACTGCTTGAAAGATTAGAAGTAAAATAATATCTTTAACTTAGAACCATAATTTTGGGAAGACAGCTTCATTTAAACAACTGAAATAAAAACAAATATGGATTGATTTAGACCACGATGAAAAATTTTCCTATTCTTTGTTAATTGTTGTAAAAAAAAAAAACCAAAATTAAAAATTCTATGATGGAATTCTATGCAAATAAATAATTCAAAGGAATTGCTCCAATGCAAATAAAAAATGAAATACCCTTTTCTATGTTTAGCACAATAGGTAAATCCCTAAGGTTTGTCTAATAAATACAAATATTATATTCCAAAGTTTTGAAATAGAACTTTGTCATTTGACATGAGATAGTACTAAACCTTTAAAATGGGAAACAGTTAATGACATTTTCCTGGATAAAGGATGTTTATTGTTGTTTTATAATTCAGGATAAAAAGTATGGAGATAATAGGGGATAAGGGGAGAGCTGTGGAGGGGAAGAGACTAGAAATAAAGTAGAAAGAACAACAGGCAGAGAAGAGATTTAGAATGGCCAATGGAGAAGAAAATGTTTTGGAAGGTAGTTTTGATCAGGGTCATCGAATAACATGAAATCAATGTTGTGAAAGTACAATTGTGAACATTAAAAACAATGAGCTGACAAAACTTCTGTGTACTGGATATTCTTTCCTTGCATGTAACTTTGACATCATGTAACTTCCATAATGCCATTTTTGTTTCAAATCTTCCATCCTTGCACAGCTTTGCATTGTTAAGCAGTGCAGGGTTTTCTTTTGTTTTGTTTTTCGAGCTTCAGTTAATTTGCGTCAGCTGAAGAAGGTTACAAAGCCTATTCTCATGGAACACATTGAGAACGTGAACTGGATCGTTAAACTCAAAATCATTTTGGCCTTAACTTTCTGGACTCAATTTTTCCCTTCCCATTTGCAATCCTAAGTATTTACAGAATGAATCCACTAATGGGTTGATCTTTTCTGACATGTTAACTAGAAGAGCGATTGTGTCTCCAAAGGCTGATATTCATGAACAAAAATTTGACTTAACAAGGAACCATTTAATGAAGTTTCCAAGTACAATGAAAAATAATAAACATTTCCCTTTAGGATTGTCACCTGGAAGGTTAATGTTCTTCTTCTGGTCTTAGTGTGATGAAACTTAATTTCCATAGAATTTAGAATAATCTAGGAATGTGAAAAAACTGAGAACACTAGAGTGAGCAGGACAGTGACATGTATCTCTTTCTATCACTCCATGGCGTGAGTTTTCTTTATTAGAGGCAGATCTCTCCTTTTTAAGTAAACACTGAGGTCTTGGAGGGTGGGGTGTGCATATTAACATGCTGTTCATCTCACACGGTGAAGCAGGTATGTGGAGAATGTATTTTAAAAATCCATGTGGATGAATAATCATGTTATAATGTACCATTTTCATATACAGATGCTCAGTTTTCAGTGATTTTGACTGCTGGCATATGTTTACCTACACTGAAAGATCTTCAGGCTTAGACCAGATCTCATAGATCACCAAGCCCAGTGTATCCTAAGATCCTCCTTAAGCACCAAGACAGTTAATTGAGTCCTCACTATGTATCAGCCACTTGGAATCCATCTGGCTGGCATCACCAACATTCTGAGCCTTTGCTTCTCTGGGCCTCTCCAGTTTGGTGAGCATGGGTGATGAGTCAGAGGAGGTCCTATGGGCAGTTAGGCTTTTATTTTTTTGAATTGAGGACCAATCCACCTGCAAGTCAAGGTAATCGAACCAACTGCCCACATCAGGCATGATAGGCAAAGACCAAATCTGAGGGGTCAGAAAACACTGACAACAATGATCAGAGCTGTCACTTTAAAGTAGGAAAGAAGGTAGACAAGTAGGATGCCAATCAAAGTTCCTGTACAGACTTTCCTCAACAATCAAAACATATCTAGCTGATGGCCGCTTGTCCTGTTTCCTTTTGCAAAATGGTTCTTTCCTTGTGTCACTCCATTTTGGTGTATGTGAACAAAGATTGCTTGTATGAAGATCAGACACCTTTTGTGTTAACACTACCGAAGAAAAGTTCTGTCTGGCTTATTCTCATGTTTAAAAAATTCTGGTGATTGTGATGGTTATGTTTTAAGAAGTATTTAAAAGAATAAGACTCTAAAGGAAATAAATGTCTTTTATTCTGGAGTCAAAACTTTCCATTCTTTTTAAGCATCTAATTAAAATAAGTGGGAAATCTCCAGACAATAATAAAAATTGTACCCTGGAAATGCTTGGGGTTTATATATGGAAGTCAGGTGAATGGAATATTAATATCTTCTAACTGCATTCATCACTCCTGTTTGTCCTTTTAAATAAGGAAATAAAATAATAGTTTTTCTTCCATGAACTGAGTAATTTTGCCATTCGAGTAGCAACACTTTGACTTTATCCAACAGCACCTAGGCTGGTTTCAAATGAGCGTCTCACTTCAACTAAAAACACATGACAGATTCAGTAATTTTCATGTCATTGTCAGAAAGAACCTGGCTTTTGTTCTGAAACTACATTCCTTTGGGTTGTCTTTGACGATGCTGCAAGATCCTCTGACTTATCAGAACTCCAAATTTGGGCACGGTGTAACAATCCAAGAAACTATGGTAACTAACACTGTTGGCATCCACTGCAATAATCTTTATGCAGCTTGAGGAATGTAACCATGAATGTAATGTGAAAATGTGTACAAGGGTACACAGAAGAGTACAGTTTTGACTTGAAGAAATGTAGCAGGGAAATGACCTGTTTGTGTAAATGGCCATTTTCCCTCTTATCCCCATCAGCCCAGGTCATCTACCACTGACATATACTAGGTGCATTGTTCCTTTAATGACTGAAGTATATATTGGTTGCAGATGTTAGAAATGGTCCATTGAAAAAACAGGCAGATGAAATCAGGGCTCAGCCCTAAGGTCATTATTAGTACCTTGATATGTTGTGTTAATAAGTACAGGCATAGGTTGTTTTATTGCACTTTGTTATATGGTACTTCGCGATACTTCAGTTTTTTAAAATTGAAGGTTTGTGGCAACCCTATGTTAAGTCTATCAGTGTCATTTTTCCAACAGCATGTGATAACTTTGTGTCTTTGTCACATTTTGGTAA